TCATCAACATTAATAATCTCTCCCAGGCTAATGAGAGATCTTAATTTACGGGCAATCATCTCACGGATAAGACGATTCATAAGGCACCCCAGCCACTACTTTTTGCCTCAACAATAGGCTGCGTACTAAACGCATCTTTACTTGTTAATGTTAATTTTGTGCTATGTCCTGCAGGATCATCACCACTTGTATCTGTTGCGTCCTGGTAGACAAACTCAACACTACGAATCAAGAGTTGCTCTTGATCTAAATCTAGCTCACTGTCTGTAACAGCAATTAATGCATTTGGTTGCCATAGCTTGCCATGACCATCTAGCCAACCTCTTACGGTATAGACAATAACATCACTGCTAGCACCTTGGCTTAACTCCCAGGATGCCCGCTCATCAAAATCTTGTTGATTGCTACCACCCTCAGCTAGTATTGTTCGTGGTCGCATTCGCGACACTGTTGGATCAAAGCGATGTGCTTTTAAATCGCGCGTTTGTTTATTGCCCCAAGTACCACTACCGCTACCGATAATGTAATAGTCGCTAAAGCGACCTGTTTCATCAAAGACAGCTTCGCGACTAAGTACGTTATCACCAAATTTAAGGTGCGCACCACTATCATACCTACCTGCACGTGTTGCAACGACTTGACCTTGCGGGCTTGTGGTTAAGATTAATTTACGAAACCGTGCTAACCGCTCCAATGCTTCAAAGGTACGTTCCCCTGGTTCAACAGAAAACTGCTCAAACGGTTCTCCGATAAATACTTCTGTTTGTAACTCTAAACTGTAAGGTGCCAGTAACGCCTCTGCGATCTGAATAAAATTCTGTTGTTTAAAATGGTAATTTTCATAAAGCGGAGAACAGTAAACAATATCTGCTGTAATGCTACGACCAGAAAGCGTAATCGTTCGTGTTGTCTCTGTTGCTTTAAGGTTAATGGCACTTACATGTCCGGTTAGCACAATCTTGTCTTGATAATAGAGTTTGCAGGCAGTGCCTCGCTTAACACGAAAGTCACTACTGCTAGCAACTGTAATTTCAAACTGTGAAAACACGCCACGCAAATCTTGACGAATCCGTATGCTTTGCCAGCCTAAATACTTTTGGCCTCCAAGATGTAGCGACAGATCACTCATGCTGCTTCTACCAGTAGTTCCAGATCGCCACTAGGTACTAAAGCTGGATGTGGTACTTGATTACGTTTAATAATTTCTGTCATACGTGATGCTTGACCTAAATAACGGTAGGCCACGCTGTAGGCATTGGTTGTTTTACGTAACGGTACATAAACAACCTGCGGTAATTTTGCTGCCCGCTGAATCAAATCCTGAACAACAGCTCTTTTTAACGCATGTAATGCTTGAAACACATCAATATCAGTAGAGCTACGACCACCAACACCAAGCAGTCTATCGATCTGACTAGCTAGCAATCGACGATCACTATCTGCCTGATCAGCACTTAAGTAGCTAGCCTGACTGCTAGCCTCTGCTGCAGCAATAACCGCTAACCGCTGGATGTAGATATCGAGCGTGTTTTTTGCAGCTTGTTCTTGTCTTAAGCTTTCAGTTGCACTACCAGGGTCAGGAACATCGCTGCCAAACTCAAATAACGATACATACTCACGTACCGCCTCATAAGGTGTTTCTGCCAAACTTTCAATACTTCTTAAAGTCGTTAATAGCCCGCCCGCTGGGGCGTCAGGCTGAGCTAGTAGTGTTGGGACACTACTAGTTAACCGCTCAATATCAAAACGGAAGCTAGCAATTTTATCTTGCGCTGTTTGTAGTGGTGAGCCGATGTTACTGATGGCATTAATAGCTCGTGTAATGTGGGTAGCTAAACTCTCTCGTACAGATTCTGGTGCGTCACTAGTATCCAAATTCTTAATAAAATCTTCTCGTGCTTTGATGTGGGCATCTGCTGCGACAGTCTCTACTTGGGCGGTTGTATTGTCTATGGCAACAAGACTAGGCTGCTCTCTTGCCTTAACACAGCTAATCTCAAAATCAGCACGTCGTTGTTTGGTAAACTCGTGACGGATACGATAGGTTTTTATTTCAACCTGCATGAGTCCGTAATGAGGATGACGTAGCTCTCCTGGGCCACCTATTGCGAGTGCTTCGATCAATGTATCTCGTTGCGTATCAAAGTCACTACCAACAACAAATGCCTGAAAACTAAATTCATCAGGACTCTTTCCCCAATGTTTTGTACTATGACGATTGCTATTTGGATAGGTATCTAAAAGTAGTCGATGCTCACAGCCTCGATCATCTCCTGCAACTTGAAACGCGACCCCTCGAAATGTGCCAGTTAACTCAAACCCCATTATGGCACCGAAAGTCCAAAGCCAGTGGTTAAATCTAAATTATCTGCTTGCGTTACATTGACGCGCGTACCCGCGGGTGCATTGTTAAAATTAACATCTATTGAGCCTTTAACTTTTTCTGTGTTTTGCCCAGCCCCAACAATAGCAGCATCAATAGTATCTGATAAAAAACTCTCAATAATTGAGCCGACAACAAAACCAGCCGCAGTCCCAGCACCAGGCACAACAGACCCAAGACCTGCGCCAATAAGTGGTATTACACCTTTCGTAAGACTGCTATACATTTTTTGATCTGGTGATAGGTTGTCATTTTGATGCGTAGCATACAGATCACCAAGCACACTCATTACTGCTAGTGGTGCCGATGCTTTTTTTAAAAACTTGCCAGCACGACCAAGGATGCCAGGCTTAACTTGTCTTGGCACATCCAATAGATCATTTAATGTTTTTGTTGTTTGTGTCGGTGCTGATTTAGGGAAAACTTTACCAGCTAGACGCTTTAAGCCAATGACAGCAACAGCTCCCCCAACACCCGCAAGACCAACAGCAGCAGGAGCAGCAACATTACTTAACCCAACAGAATCATCAACAGCATCTAGGGCGTCACTTGCACCCTCAACAAGAGGCTTAAATACTGCTTGCGTAAATTCTTGCACAGCTGTTGTGGCCTGTTGAATTGCTGCAGAAAACTTGCGGCTATTATGTGCTGATAACTCGATTAAGTGACTACCATTGTCAATGGTATTAAAAATCGCCTCAGTCTTTGGTGTGAATTTTCGTAATTTTAGATCAAATTCCTTAGCAAACTGTTGTACGGGTTTTGCCGCTCTTGTTTCTGGAAATAGATATCCTATTTTGACAGAGTCTTTTTTAGTAACAATCAGAATGTCGCGCAAAATATCTTTAAGCGACCTAAACACCTGAGTGCCATCACTGTCAATACGTTCAACAAGTCCACGTCCTAGCTCATCTTTTAAAATTGTATCTATTTTTTCAAATTGTTGATTCGTTAGAGAGTCAATTAAACGTTCAAATTGAGTCACCGCCTCCGTGGGTTCCCCAACACCGCCAGCAATAACCTGCATTACAGCACCGGTCTCTACTGCTGCCCCAACTCCTGTACGATTAAGAAGCCTTGCTGCAGCACCAATACGATTAGCATTGGCCGCCAGATGACTAATTTCAAATTGACCAGGATCGGCTTGCGCAGCTAAGGTACTTGCTGCTGCTAGGCGATCTTGTTTGTTTTTAATCTTAAATGAGCTTTCAAGTCTATTAAGTAATGCGCCCGCATCTCTTCCAGCTGCATCTGCTGCTCGCATTAGAAAACCAGCTGTCCTTAATTCCTTAACCGCTTGCCTAACATCACCACCCTTGCTAAATACTTCTTCCAGAACGCCAAACAAATCATCAACACCAACTTTAATACGTTTATCATTTGCAACTGCAAATAATTCTTCATGCAGATCAGCAACTTCCTTTTTACTTAATCTCGCTTTACCAGCTAAATCAATTAAACGGTCACTTAAGCTACCTGCATCTTTAATGGCAGCCCCAACACCAACAGCAGAGACAAGTCCACTATAGCGATTACCTAAAACACTAAAGCCACGACCAATCGTTGCAGCAGCACGTCCAAGCATTGATGCTTGCGTACGTCCAACTCGTGCTAAACGTTGCATTGAAGCAATATCAGATCGTGTTTGTCTACCGATATTACTAACAAGTGATAATTCTAAGCGTGTCTTTAAGTTAGATGTCATTTACGGCCCTCGCGGCTTTGTAATCTCCCCCAAGACCTCCTCAAATAACACGTAATCCATAACATCTACATCCTGCATCGCTAATCTTAATCGTCCTGCAACGACGTGTCTGGCTCGCTCAATGCCAAGGACGCGACTGTCTCGGATAGGTACTTTCCCGCGCCAAGATCCTCTATCTTTCTAAGTGTTTCTTTGCGCTTGTCAGTATCTTTAATGCCCATAGCTTGATCAATTGCTAAACAGGTAAGCTCCAGCTCTCGTAAATCTTCTCCGTGCAGACGATCAAATACCTGTTGATCGATAGGCCCGTTAAGCTCACCAAGCTTAACAATACGCAGACGTGTTAATTCAAGATTAACTAGCCCATCATTTGCAACAGCACGATACCCGTCAGGCGTTTGGCATAACTGACTACCCGCATTTAAGGCTTGACGGACATCACCAACAGTTCGATTACGTACAACTGTCTTGCTATAGATCTCTTTACCTTTTCCATGGGAGAGTTCTTGCTCAATACCAAAAGGTAGCTCTATGGTTACCGTAAGCATTAGGAAATTTTTCCCCAGTGTGTACAAGCAATCTTGACTGGCACTTTACCACCTTGACCGTCCATTTCAGGCGATTCCCCATCACGCCAAGCACCAAACAGATTGTATATTTGACCTGTGTCGCAAATAAATTGAACCGTTGCTCCTGTAAAATCGAAGTCTGCTATGTCATCGCCAATACCATGCAAGAAGACCCCCTCAACGTAAGGCGTTGACGGTGTCTCAAAATAATCACTACGACCATTTGCAAGCTGAACCGCTTGACGATTTTTAAAGCCAGGATTAAATCGGGCTGCAGGTTCAGAGTTAATAAAAATTCCATCTCTTTTTATCTCTATGGTTCCTGTTAACATCATCTACCTCACTAGCGTTTAAAAAGATTAAGAACACGCAATTGCTCAAAGCGGTTCATTAAGTCTGGTTGAATCACACTATCTAACGTATTTGCACCAGGTCTTGTGACTTCTTTAACAAACTTATCTGCTGTTTCGATCCAGCCACGTCGCTCAAACTGATCTGCAAGCTGCATCCATTCAGCAGTCGCAAGCTCCGCTGTCATAACCGGTACACCAGGATCATAATTACGACCAGACTCGCCTAACAGATAACGTGGATACTTGGTTCTGAAATGGACACGAGAGGCATAATTAATCGCCATTAATGTTTTAAGTGTTTGACGATCTAAAAATGCCTCATCTGGTGAACCAACACTATTTACCCTGTAGGTTGTAATTGTTTTTTGAATACGTAACGTGCCTGCGACAACGGTTGTACTTGAGACACCGCTATGTAGCATTGAATTTCTATCAGCATCAGATAATTGATCTTCTGTTGCGGCTGCAACAATACCTTCTAAGGGTAATCCCTCAAGACTTCGTGCTGGGTGTGGTTCACTAACATCGACACAAGCTAGAGATACTGCTGCTAGATACGCTGATGATGGGGATTTACCAATACCAACAACACTTAAAAACTCACTATTTCGCGTTAAGCCAAAGGTTGTCATATCACCAACCGTACCAGAGACAGCAGAAAATAGATGTACCTCTTTCTGAACTAAAGCGTCCCAGCTTTCACGCGCAAAGGTCTCTAATGCAGTTAGATTTGAACTATCACGATACGGAGCAACAAGATCGGTTAACCAAAGTTCACCTAGATTATCTAGGACGGTACTAACATCAGGGTTACCAGAGCCATCGGTTTGCCTGCTAACTGTTGGCTCTTTAATACCAGCAGCAAAGCGCTCCCCTTGGTTTAAATTAAATTTAATGGTCAGGTCATTGCCAACTCCACCTTTATGTCTGCACGTAAGCACTGCAACATTCGCATTGCTGCCATCAACAGCTGCTGCAAACAACAAGTCCTCATCGGCACTGACTGCCGCAACAAAGGCAGCGATCACATCATCTTGGTCATCACCATTATCAATAGTAAATTCAATAACACCTTGTTTTTGTACCCCTAGCCAATGATAGTCAATATAAGCACGTGCAATTCGTGATTCTGTGGCGGTGCTGGCAGGTAGCGTTACATGATAGACAGCCTGCACACCATTGCTGTCATCATCGAGCGGTAATAAAAATAAAGGTGTCTCCGGTGTAATACGACGTGCTAACTTAGCCATCTTGGCAAGCATTGAGCCACGTCCTGCTTTCGTTTCAATCTCAGCATCAGAAAAGACACGTACTGGTGTATTTGCTGCTGCATCGCCATCGTTCAGTTTTTGACCAAGAATGCCAATCGCGCGGGGAATCTCTGCGGTAGCTCCAGAGGTAGCCTGTGAGCCATCAACTTCAATGTAGCCACCAGGAACACGCCAGTTACTAGGTATTTGGGTAAAGGTTGCCATTTCTTAGTTATCCTCTCTAGGTTCTTGGTTAGACATTGCTTCCAAAATAGCATCGCGATCCTTAGCTGAGACAGGAAAGCCTGCTAATTTACTTAAGGCACCGACATCTGGTTTACCTGCTTTTGTAAAATGATCAGGATCGTTAGGATCTAATTGTTTGATTGCTTGAACAATACGCTCTTCTCGCTCACAATTAGAACACAGAAGCTCGCAGTCACCATCGGAAACCCGCTGTCGCCAAAAACGGTTATTTGGCTTTGTCTCACCTTCAGGATGTAGCGGACGACCGGTAACAGGATCAGATATGGTTTTACCTTTAACAGGTACAAGAAAAAGTTTTGTTGTCATTTATGCTTCCATTTCGCAATGATTTATTTGAAATATCGTTTCAATTTCTTCTTGTGACGGGAGCTGGCTCTTGCATGAGTTTTCTATGTAATCGGCAATATCATCTCTGCCAGCCTCTCGATACCGATTAATCAATGCCACAGCCTCTTCTGATCGTGATGGATTCATTTATGCTTCCTCGTCTGTTTCAAGCTGTATCGTTTGCGACACACTTCGTGTGTCTTGATCATCATTTACTAACGTCTCTTGATTTAATGTTGCAAAATTGGATAAGTCTGTAACCGTCTCTCTAGTAATACAGGCTGGTACTGCAAATGTCGCCAAATAAACAGAGACACCAAAATGCTCTAAACTTGGATCGTATAAGTTATCTATCACCTCACAGCTAAGTGTGCCTATCTGTGGGACTGTTTGTTGATGTAGTATTGCTACTGCTGTTTCAATAATTTCATAAGCACCAACCTCTAGTGCTGCACCGCGGGTTCTGCCACGAATACCTGTTGCATGTCCTGCAACAGCAAAAACACCAAAACGTAAATTTAAAACAGCCGCATGCGTTGCTGGTTGTTTTTCTTTTGCTTCTAAAAACGCAATCGAGGCCGCTGGTGTTTTATTAGAAATTGTTCTGAGTGTGTTTTGATCCCAGTTGCCTGGCCCAATATCAAGATCACGTAACTTATCACCAAGATCATGATCTTTAATCTGTTGCAGCATAAAATCTTCTACAGTTGCAATAACACCACTCATAACGAGCCACCAAACTGACTTAATGTCTTCTCATCAAACGCCTCTTTAGGCTTCGAAAAAGCAACATCATCTGTTGCAATCTGTACAGGTGCCTCTTGTGCATCAAGACCAATACTGTCTTTACCATCACCGATACGTTCTAAATGATGGATTGCATCTTTGTACTCACGTTCTACTTTCTCTGGTGCTACCCGATCATGTAGATAATAAAACGCAATTCGACAAGCCAGTGCTGTTAAAATCGTAGGAATATCAGTAAGAGGTAGCTGATAACGTTTACCTAGTTTGGCATTAATGAGATCACGTGCATCACCAATTGCTGTATCAACACGACCGGTCTCCTCTAACTGCTCAATCTCAGAGATACCGTAACGATCAACAAGATCCTGGCGACTGCAATAAGACATTAGTCGTTATTTTCTCCGCTTGCTTGCTGTGCTTCTAGAACTTTCCAAGCATCATCACGCTGTTTTGCACTGACTTCAAAACCAAGAACATCTGTTAAGGCACTCACATTAGGTTTACCTGACCGTGTAAAATGATCAGTATTTTTAGCATCTAGCTCTTTAATTGCTTCAATAATCTTTGCTTGTACTTCTTCGTCTGTAAGCGGAAGCCTAACTTGTTTTGTCTCTTCCACTTCTTCAAAGAGGTGTTTCTGTGATACTGCCATCTCAATGTCAGCACCTATTAACTCAACGGTATCACCTTGTTTGTAGGTTTTTCCGTCTAAAATGACGGTGCCACATAAGATTAAAAATAATTTTGGTTCCATAATTTAAATCTCTTTTCTAAAAAAGCGGTACGGTGGCGAAAAGAAGCCCCATCTTAAGGCAAAAAAACCACCGCACCGCCGACCCCGATCAATACTTTGTTTATGGCGCGGTTGGTGTAACAATAATATGTCCAAGTTCGAAATTAAGTAACTGCTTCTGGTTACGACCTACCTTAATCTCAACACCACCCTCTAGTCCCATATCTGATTCACGTCGACCAACAAACCAAGGCTTCCACTGCACGGTCGTACCAAAAGTAGCACGGTGGTTTTTTAATTTTGAACGATCATCTCGTGTAAAGAAGACAATCGCATTACCCCATAGCTTTTGGAGATCAACAGCTTGACCACGTTTAGCAGCGTTGTAATTGACATTGCCAATATGGATTCGATTTAACTCAAAGATATCAATAAAGGCTTGACGTGCTGCAATACCAGAATCGCCGCTATTGCCAAGAATAGCTTTAATAATTTTTGGATGTGTTCGTACTTTAGACCAGACTTTGCGACCCATAACCACATCTGTGTACTTAGTCCTGGCACCAGCTAGGGTTTCTTCAAATAACACAACAGGATCAGAGCCAGCATCTTCTAAGCGACTACCTTCGGCTAGTGTTGTGATACGGTGGTTTTGGTAGCGAGCTGGATCAAATACTTTTTTAACAAGAGACTGTTCTTCCGAGAGACGTATAAGATCAGTAAGCTCTTCTACCATTTCAGCTTCTAGGTCTCGACCTTGCTTTTGAGCTTCCTCAAGATCGCTATAAGGAATCTTACCAATTAAACCGCCTGGCTCTGTCGAGTCACTCTTTTCTTCACTTTCTCGTACATGCTCATTGGCGGTTCCAAGACGACTTAAGGTCGTATCAATAATCGTAATACCTTGACCTTCTGGTAGCTTTTGATATTTAAACCCTTCTCGTAGCGTTTGCTGTACGGGTGCTATTTCTTCACCGATAAATTCGTCGTTTGTATACGCTTCAGCAATCGATAGTCGATCTTCGTCGCGCGCAAATGGTCTACCTGACATGGTTATATCTCCCTTAAGATTTCATTAAGTTTAAAGTTTGCTTGGTGCAACAAACACCTGAATAATATCGCCAGCAACGCCTGCAACTTCTGCGTAACCGATAATGTAATTACCAGCACTAGCTACAATGGCTTTACCTTCTGCATCTGCTGTTAGCGGATCACCAATGGCAATCGTGCCACCTGCTATAACATCAGGTGTACGGTCTCGCATGACATCCACAACCTCAGTATCCGCTGCGCCTAACTGACCAGACAGACCAATTAGCGGTGCGGTTGCAGCGGTTGCTTGTGCTACGGTTTCATCACTGCTGCCATAGGTTAAAATACGGTAAGCTTCAATGGCTTGATCTGCGCGTTTACTGTCAATAAATCCTGTTTTTGTTCCCATGAGGTTTCTCCTAGATCGTAATAAACGTTATGACGTTTGTGTTGCTTCGCGCTTTAACTGACCATGTGCTTCTGCAAAGCTTAAATGTCTGCCAGAACTTCGTGCTTCATCGACACGTTGCTTAATTGCTTGCGGGCTAACACGTACTGTTTCTTCGGTAACACCATGATCGTCGCCACTTACTTCACTAAATTGAATGTTTTTAGGTAGTGACTTCATAAACTGCATCAACTGTTTTCGTTGTGTGGTTTTAACAGCACCATCACCTTCACCAAATTCAAGAGTTTGAGCTTCATCATCCGGAAGAGCCGCAAGAAGATGAGACATGCCTTGAGCTTGACTTGGTGTTAACTTGCCTTCACCAACTAACTCTTCACAAAACATCGTTGCTCGCTCTAGGGCTAGTTGTTGTTCTTTTTGTGTAAGTAGCTTTTCTCGCTCTGCAAATGCTGTCTGTTTTTTAGCAAGTTCAGCTTGCTGTTTTTCTAAAGCTTGTTTTTCTTCTTCTGTCACAACGTCCTCCGCTTGTGTTGGATTTGTGTTTTCTTTGATTGTTGATTTTTCTTCTGAAAATGTTGTGATTGTATCTGACGCTGACTGAGCTACTGCTTCCTGAATGTAGTTTGCTTCGTAGCTAGGAATAACCCTGTCTGCATCCTCTCTACCAAACTTTTCAATCATCCATTCCCGCAAGTCTCTAAGTATTCTTGCTATGGGACGTAATGGCTCTGCAAATTGCATCTCAACACACAGCAGGTCTTGACCATCATCTGCAAATTGAATCTCTTGCCCTGCGTTTAGACCTTTAATAGCTGGTGGCTGCGCACCAAGAAATCCGACGTGTCTTAAATAAAGTGTTCCAGGTGTTGGATTTAGAGGATGCTGCTCGTCATAGAAAGCAGCAGATATCTTTTTGAATTTTCCTTGATTAACAAGTTCTGCAAAGGCAGGATCTACTTGTTTCACCTCTGCGGTGACGTTACCGTCAGAATCTACTTCTAAAGAATCAATCCAGCCCCAGGCAGGAGCATCTGTTTCAGGATGCCCAACAACAACAGGTGCTTCATGTACATTTGTATCGTAAGCCTCGATCATGCTACGTACACGATCTTGACTAAAAGAAAGTTGCTGACCGTTAATTGATGTGTGGGTACCGGTCTTAAATATTTCGATTATTTTTTTATCTGCTTTTTTTGGCAACAGATGACCTCGTTGTTTTGAAGTTACGAGGTCAGTATCTAATCTTTACAACCTAATTGTTATAAAAAATGTAGAAGAAAGGTGGAGGTAACTTTGGATGATTGTGAAAATAAGACAAAACTGTTTTATGATGCTTCAATCTCTACTGAGAAGAATGCGTAAAATTTTAGCGCCTAGGAGGTAATAGAGTTATGACTGAACAAGAAGAAACAACTATTGTTCTCAATAAAGAAAATGCTATCAATCTCTATCAGCAAGGCTGGGAGCAATGGAATGCATGGGTTGAAGACAATCCTAACGCTTATGTTGATTTCTCCGGTGCTAATTTTTCCAGGCGCATAGGTGGAAGCGGAGTAGATGGGCCAGACTTTAGATGCTATCGGTTTCCAAGAGGCGGCGTCAATTTCGATGGCGTAATGTTTCATCAGGCAAATTTCAATAGAGTCAAGTTTGATGGAGACGTAAGTTTTATTAACGCCGAGCTTAGTGATAGTGATGATTTTACTGATGTAACATTTAGCAGCAATGTTGATTTTCGTGGAGCCAAATTTACTGACAATACTAAGTTTCGTGCTTCAAGGTTTTACGGAGACGTAAATTTTACTAACGCTGTGTTTGGCAATAACATTAACTTTACTGACGCAATTTTTAGCGGCGAGGCCGTATTCAATAGAACCAGATTTAGAGGCCAGGCAACTTTCTCTAGAGCTACGCTCAATGGTAAGGCAAACTTCTTTGAAGCCACATTCGAAGACAGGGTAAGCTTTGAAGATACCAGGTTCGGCAGTGAGGCAAACTTCAATTACGTTACGTTTGGCAATAGTGTCGAATTTAGTGATGCAGCATTTGATAGTCATGCCTTGTTTCTAGGAACCAGATTTAATGGCGAAGCCCAACTAGATATGGTCACTTTTGGTGGTAACGTATATTTTGATAAAGCCAAATTTACTAATGATGTTTATTTTTCTTCATCTAATTTTAGAGAAACCGTTAGTTTTGAGTATGTTAATTTTGGTGGCGATACTTTTTTTGAGCATCTCGAACATGTTGACAAAATTCGAAACTTATCTTTTCGTGGCTCTTCCTTTGAAAAAAGTTTCAATATTGCTGCAGGAGATACCTTCAATTGCATCATCGATCTACGACATACAAGGATTAATCATCCAGTTTTACTAACAGATATACGTTGCAAGCTCCAGTTAGAAGAAAAACCAGAAAAATATTTACAATTCTTTGAGACCAAGAAAGCCAAAGACACTAACGATATCGCTCGCGCACGCCGCTTAAAAAAACTTGCCGAAGAAAATAGAGATCATCAACGAGCCCTAGAGTACAAAGTAATGGAGATGAAGGCTGCACGCATACACGAGACACGAGGTGGATATCTATTATTAGAGCGACTATTTGAGATCCTAAGCAATTATGGACGTAGCGTCTGGCGACCACTTATTAGCTTAGTCGTTACCTGGTTTGTCTTTGGTGTAATCTACGCCTACCTCAGTGCAGTAAGCATATGCAGCCTTGTTCTTTCAGATCTTTTTTCAGTAATTCTCTTTTCTGCTGGGCAACTATTTGCTTTCATTCCTAGTAAACGCGATGCACTATCAGCAGCAGCAACGTCTTTATTTGCCGATAATCTGCCTCAGTGGATCTATTTACTAACATTTACACAAAGCATCTTGGCAGTAATCTTATTATTCCTATTGGGTCTTGGATTACGCAATAGATTTAGACTATAAAATAGCCAGTGCATCAAAATTAACACCTACTCACAAAACAATGAAATAGGCTCCAATATTAAGAACCCCTAAATGAAAACTTACTATTACTCATTTAGGGGCTTTGCTTCCCTAATATAGGTTTCAATACGTTCCTTAAAAAATTCAAAAACTGGATCAGTAAAACGAATACATAAAATAGATAATAAAGTTTCACTAGCTACATACCCATGCCAAACTAAACCAGCAAATGCCTCACTTAAAAAGCTAGACGCATACCCACAAACACCGTCGCCAATAATAACTTCAAGCTTCTCGCCTTCCTTAAGCTCTGATAGTACAGGACGCAATATATCTTCTCGTAAAGCTTCTCCACTAAAATCACCATCAGTTCTGTATCTTCCTGCTGGCACAGTCGAAAATTCTTTACCTATATTAATAACAGCCATTTCTTAATCTTTCCTAGCATTTACCATCTTAAGCAAAGCTGCATAGCCAGCTATATCAACTAAATTATCCTCTTGATGCTGATAGCTTTCTCGTACCATCTTTAACGCAATCATACACTGAATAACATCTGCACTTTTTACCTCAGCTCCAAGAATTACACTCCACATTGAAGCAACACGAGCAAAGCTTTCAGCTGGATCTCCATAAGACTGCTGACGCTCTCCGGTAACAATTGCTTTGGCTTGATCAAGAATATTCGAGACCTCAGACACGTAATCTACCTTGCGCATGCTTATTAACAATACCCAGAACCTCTTGTTTATCCTTGCGACCAATGCCTAAAAATTGACGTTTTGGTAGCTTTCTTTTCTTAAATCCAAGCTGTTGTACTCCTGCATAAATAAGATTTGTACCTTGCACTAAACCACGAGAGCTAGCACGGTAGATAATACTAGTCCTTAATCTTCTAGATTCCGTTAAGATTTTAGGATGACGCTTGCGAGCTTTCGTTTTTATATGGAGCTTTGCCCAAGGTCGCTCTTGTGGATCTTTCTCCTGACGAAATCGTCTCTCTACCGCCTCATCTAAATATTCACCAATATCAATTGCGACTGGCTTTAGGTTTTGACCCAAGTTATGTAATTTAGTTAAACCTTTAATAATCTGGTTATCCCGAACAATAAGACGTGCGCCTGCCATGTTACTGATCTCGCTTCCAAATCAGATGGCCTAGTCGATAGTCAGATAACGCACTTAAACTAGATCCTGTCACCTCAAACCCTGTCAAGAAGTTCTGGCTAACGGAAGCTGTAATGGCTTTTACTTGCTCTGCTCCGTCTACCGAAATAGTTTTAATATAGTGCTTGTAAAGATAGACTTTACCTGTCTGTTGATCTTGCAGAAAACCTACCCAGATTTCATTTGGATCTTCTAACACCTCTGGCAAAAATGAAAACCACCGCTCACGACCTCCCGCACGCTTGATATCTTCTGCAAAATAATCAGCTAGAGCGTGGGTTATCGTTACAAGCTCACCGCGTGGATCTCTGAAGGTCTTTGCTTGCCTCCCAATAACACGACCCAAGTTTCGCCTAATACTGGCAGGATCACTAGCAGCAGGCAGCAGCTGGGCTCTTGCTGCATCTATGGGTACTGGGCCTAATTCTAAGCTTTTGGCAGTCTCTACCTGACCGCGCTTTTTCAAGCGTTTGCTCTCAATAGTTTTACTGCCTGTAGCACTACTGTCTGCTCTGTCGATTAGACGTTTATTGACAGAGCGTCCCCAGTGAGCTTCGCCAACATTATAATTCCAGCCTGGACCAATACCGTTCGGGATACGCTGTGTCTTGCCTGTTCTGGGGTTTTTCCAAGTATAGCTACCATCTTGTGGACGCTTTGATACTTTAATCTTGCGTCGTTTTAAATCACGATCCCCCAACGCCCGCACACGACAGGTGCAGCCCCAATCATTAGGGCCATAATGACTCTGCCACCATGGATCATCTGCTGGTAGCACCGTACCGTCCCAAGCTAGGTGATGTGGTCTTGGATTTGCACTATCGCCATGGACATATTCCCAATATGGTCTACTTTTAAGAGTATCGGGATCTGTTAACTGTTTGTAGCGGCCAGCAGCGTACGATGTTGTGATATTTGTTTGATAGATCACTCTTGTGCGCCAGCCACGATTGCCTCTATAGCTCCAGCCATGACGTTTAACAATCGTATCAAAATCTTTACGAAAGGTTTCTAACGTTGTGCCTTGTGACAAGGCTTTATCGATTGCTTGCTGAAAGTCAGCTAATAGCTCATCTCGCATTGCCCCTGCAATGGTAAACGCTCTAGCGTGAGCACCGCGCCAAATCTCATCATAGGTTTTTGTCGGAATACGTACCTTGCCACGGTAAAACGAAATCGCCTCATCAAAAGGTAAATCGACAGGGTCGACAGTCACAGCTTAAGCAGCCTTAAGAATTAAAACTTGCTTTAATTTATTTTTCTTACCGCTGCCACGATTACCAATACCCATAGGTGTCGTAACTTCGACAAACTGGCAGTCCTGATACAGTTCCCGAATAAATGGATCATCGTCGTAACTCACAATAAAGCTACCCTGCAATCTTAAAACAGCATCCCTTAACGCAATATGCTCTTCTTTGCTAAAAGCATAGTCGTATTGCAGACCTTTTATATAGGGCGGATCAAGAAAAAAAAACGCGCCATCATAGTCATATTTCTTTAAAACCTCTTGCCAAGGTAAGTTTTCAATTGTTACACGATCAAATCGCTCATATACGCGACGAAGTACTTTTTGCTTTTCCTGTCTGGAGCTACAACCTTGTTTTTTGCTGATGCCAAAATGACTGCCTTGCCCACCAAAAGACATCTGGTTACATAAATAAAAACGGGCAGCTTGTTGAATATCTGTTAAACCAGGACGCTCTAGATACTCTAAAAATTCTTGACGACTATGGGGTACTAGATCTATTTCATCTATGAGGGCTTCGTAATGATATTTCAAACATCTAAAAAAGGTAACCAGATGATTATTGATGTCGTTATAGATTTCAACTTTTGAAGGTTCTTTTTTAATTAAGACAGACGCACCGCCACCAAACACCTCTACATAGGTATGGTGTTCTGGCATTAGAGCACTTATCTGTTTAAATAGTAATGCCTTGCCACCTGGCCACCGAATGGGTGAACGCAGTGTTTTCATGTTTGGCAGTTTATGTCCCATTCAATTGCCCTCTAGTACATCGACTTGACCTTTAAGCTCTGCCGCAACGAGAGCTCTCTGAATGATGGCAGCCTGTCTTGAAATATCTAAATCAGGATAGAGATTAATAAGTTGATCGCGCAGCTCTTCTGGTGACGTTGCTTGACTAACAAGGTCGCGTACCTGATCAATCATTCCATCTAGTACTTGACTGGTTGCCTCATCTAAATGATCTGTCATTACTTCTTCGTCTGTCTGCTCTTCTGCCTCCCCAAACGCCGCTGGCACGGAGCCATCCGCTGGCGCGGGGCTACTACCCGATGGAGCGTTATCGTTATTAGCTCCGGATTGCCTGCTAGCAGCAGGTAGCCCTACGCCTACCGCCGCCACGCCAGTGACCCCTGCGCTAGCAGGCACACTAGTGACTCGTTTGAGAAAACCGTCACCGTAGGTTTGTTGAACGTATTCTTCGGTTAAATCAAACCCCATCTGATACAACTTAATATCACGTTCAGCTCTTTTGTTTAAATCTTCATTCTCTTCCGGTACACGTTTAATAATCGGTACCTTGGCACCTGGATAATTCCATGCTGTAAGCCAATTTACAAAACTATCTCGTGCGCTAGCATTTAACATGTCCGCAGCAAACTGAATAACATCGTCTCGTACTTCTTTATGGGTTTCCGATTGCGATTTGCTGCTACCATCATCTGTGGTCATTGTCTGAGACAAATAAACTTTAGAAATAGCAGCATCCATACGATCATAGATCTGTTCATAGCCACCTTTGCCACCGCGCGTAGCTTCTAACAACTCAACCTGAACACTATCTGGAATAATAACCGCACTACTTGTACCAATAGCTTTTAGAGCTTCTAGTAACTTCTGTTTGTCTTTGGTGCCATCTTGACCACGATTATATTTACCAAGGGTTGTGGGTTTACCAAATTTCTCTAAAAAGATAGACCAAAACTTAATATCTTGTCGTTTAAAAAAGACTGGCCAATAAGCATAATGAGCTAGCCCTAAACCGTAAGGATTGCTGTCATGGTCTGCACCAAAAGAAAAGACCCAAAACTTATAATCAGGCATTAACTCACCGCTAGGATGCTTTCTTGTCAGTCTGACCAAATTACCGTCATTGCGAAAGCGAAACTGGCTACGATCACGAACCCGGATATCTTCTAAGGTAATAAAACGACCATCCCGCCCCCACAAACATTCTGCTACCGAATACCCGTAATGCTCACCATAGAGCATTTTACTTGTATGATCATCAAAATTAAGATTATTGAGGACATCTTCAATAAAATCACAAGCAGCTTTATCTTGTTTACGATCACCACCAGGCTCACACACAACACGCCAAGAGACAACCGCACTACGTCGTTGCTGAAAACAGCTGTTTACCTGATCATCACGTAAAATTTCTGTATAGATTTTAAGGTTACCGCCACCACGCTGTTTAATAATCTCGTCTTGATAGGACATAAGTTGCCCAAGAAGAGCTGGTGTTGAGTCATGGCTATCATGGGTTGCGGTTACTTCTTCAAAAACAGGTTTTGTAATCCTCATTGCAAGCCTCTTGCAGTGTTATTTAAATCTTGTTTCAAGCTCATTTAAAAGCCATATAAATCTTGACCATTATGGACAACACCAAATCCGATATCTTCATGGATATGCCCAACATCTTGAATATCTTCTGCGTATTGGTTGCGATCATCTGTAGCTGCAAACTCTACAGGGCCGCCAGCTTGACTAGCTGCGTAAATAGATAGAAACAGAGCCCAAGCACGATCGGCATGCCCTGAGCTATCAGATTCTGCAACAAATTTTGGTGCGCCTGTTTGTGTTGTGGTCTTTTTTAATTTATGAAGATCAGTACGTAGTTTAGGCTGACCTGCGGGAATCCTAAGTCTACGATCCTCAAAGCATTCTTTACCAACTGTTGCCAGCATGTACTTATTGCTATTACTAAAGAGAACACCTTCGGTTACGTATTCACCGTATCTACGTATAGCATCTTCAACAGGTTTCTCACCAAGACCTGTCTGATCCATTGCTAGACGTACAACCTTATATTTATTCATTAATTCATCAAGAACCGCGTCTTGCTCTGCAAAGGGAGCCCGTTTTAAAACACGAACCTCCCGTGTCCATAAAACATCACCGACAAGCTCTAAGACCCAGGCAACCCACAGGTCATTGCGTACCGCAATGTCATTACCGATAAAACATGGGTTGCCTTGATACGTTTCTGGAATACCAGCAGCCTCATCTTCAACAGAAGAGATTAAGTCATAAGGTAGCCACGCGCTAGCCTCATCTAGCCATTTACATTCAAATTCTTGAGCCCAAGCGTCTTCGTCACCAATTGCTTCTCTTAGTTCTTCAATATTACGATCTAAGCCATCTTCAACTGCTTGATAGATGTTGACAAGATGCTTCGACCAACGACCGCTTTTATCGGTCATCAGCTCATAGAATTTGTTATCTTTTCCGTTAGGGGTGCTCGTAACACGAAGCTTAAAGCCTTTAGAGATGACAGGAAAAAGTGCTTGCCATATTTTTCTACTGTCTTGATGAAAGGCGAACTCATCTAAAAAGACATTCGCACTAAACCCACGTGCAGTATCAGGATTAGCAGGCAGTGCAGTAATTTTACTACCGCCAGGCAGATCCACCTCTAGTGCACGGTAGCTGCCACCACTGCCAGCCCAGTCATACTCTAGTGCTTCAAAGGCTACCTGATAGGCTCTACAGTGCTTTTTAATACCTTCGTTTATTGCTTCACGCGCTTGACGCTCACCTCGCGACAAAATAACCCAACGCTCACGCTTGCCAGCAACCATTGCGTCTAGACAATTATCAACAATGCCTAACGTTGTGATGAATGTTTTACCTGTCTGTCTGGCAAACATCGCAATCTTAAAGCGACTGTCATCTTCAAGCCAGCGGCGTTGATAGCCATACAGCTTAATAGCACCCATTAGCTATAGACCTGGTCACGGATATAGACTAATTGCTCTGGTGTCAGCCCAAGTGCTTTGGCTTTATTGTCTTGTTCTAGATTTTTAAAACATTTCTCAACCCGCCTGCGTTCTTCTACCTGCCACTTGTTTTGCATGACATCAGCTTTAGCTAAGCGCGATACCGCAGTCGTAACAGCTGCTATGGCTTTTGTGTTTGTTGGATCAACTTCTATCTCTTCAAAAAGATCAAATAGAATTAATTGTGTTTCTCGAATTAGAGCCTTAGTAATGGCACCATCGTCATCATTGGTTGCCCGCACAACTGCTTGTGCTTTATCAGTTACAAGCTTTAGTCGTTCTAGCTTCTTTTCAAACTTCTGTGAATAGCGACCTAGTGATGATTTACTAATTGCAAGCTCAATGCCTTCTTCTTCAAGACGATCATTAATTAACTCAACAATCTGATGATGGTTACCAAAACCGCGAGCAATTAATTCATCATTTAATAGGTCACGTACTTCACTTGGTAGTCTGGCAATTTTACTACGAACTCCCATGTTAGTCCTCGATCCTTGCTAGTCCTGCAGGTGGCTCTTTGTCGCCTTCTATAACCTGAAAGCCATAAGCTGTTAAATCTACATCTATGTCAGTTCGTGTCTTTGTTGTTTCGACAACTTTTACTTTTTCTAAAAAATCAACCGCAACCTTAACTTGATCTAGGGTTACATCTTCGTCCTCTTCTGCAACAGCCCATTTAATGATTTTTAAGCTTGTGCCAGCTGGTTGTGTTGCATAAACAACTTTTAAAACGCGCCATCTTAGTATTTTGTTTTTAAGATTATTGACAACCATCTAAGGTGCTCCTCGCATTGCTGCTATTTTTTGATCTTGTTCTGAGACTCTATCTTTTAAACCAGAAATGCGATCATGCATTTTCTGATTATCTTTTTTGACTTCTTCGCGACTTGCTGTTGTTTTTTCAATGCCTCGCAGCCGCAATTCGTTATCTTCCTGCTGTTTTTCTACTTGCGTAAATCGTTGATCAAATAAACGATAAACACCTTCAATCTCTTTTAAAACAACTGCATTGCGCTCTTTTCCAGCTTGCACTTGAGCTGCAAACATTTTGGCGATTCGCTCTTCGAATGCTTTTTCTCTACGTGAAATATAGGTAATGACAGTCGCGCAGATCGTAGCAACGCCACTAATCAGCGCAACAACGATCTCGGTTGATATCTCAAAACCGCCTTGATCAGCAGCAAAAGCAAGGCCACCGACTAAAAAAACAAAACAGCCCACAACCAGACAAACAGTAGGCGATAGTAATCTACAAGTTAAATGTTCTAGTTTAAAAGTCACCGATACCCCCATAACTCTTTATTTAATTTCTCAATATGTCCGATACACATCTCTTCACTTAGTGCCTCGGCACGTAAATAGATCCTTGCAGTTGCTACATCCGTAACCTCTGGTGTACTCCAGGTTGGCAGTTGTGGAAACGGTATAAATGATGGGGGATCGCAAGGAATAGCAACTGGTGTAATTCGAGGTTGTTTGTAACTACAGCCACCAAGCAGAAGCGATACACAAACAAGTACCAGTAAAATAGCGATCGCAAGCGTAGTAGTAGGTGGCTCTTGTGGATCTGTATAACTCATGGAAGATCAATACCACTAATACGATTGCCTATGATTAGACTCCTGCGTCTGCGCCAGGCAATAGCTTCAATACAATCTTTAGGAATTACTTCTTTTTCAATTTCAATGATACGTTCAATGATCTTTTTTTCTATTTTGGGTATTTCAGCGCGAGCTTGCTCTATCTTTTGTTTCTGCTCTTTTGCTTTAACTTGCCAGGTAGCAATTTGTGTTTGCTGCAGATGTACTTCTTGATTGAGTAATTCTAGCTCTTTAGCGGTGATACGTACCTTAAGCCAAAAACCGCCCACAATAACAACCAAAACAAGCGCGATCGTGCGCCATGGGTTTTTGGTTATAAACTTCATTGCAAGCCCTAATCCAGCAAAAGCACCCATCAAGATTTTTCCGTAAGGGCAATACCTTGACTGGTGATGGATGCTAAACAGACATTAACAATTGCAATAACTGCAATAATTCGAGCTGATACCTGTGACTCTAATCCAAAAATTGCAGCTGAACACCAATTTCTTCTAATATAGCTGGCAGTGTTAATAGCGTATTAAAAATGATGGTTTTAGATTTATAAGGCTGCTTACTTACCTTTTCCATTCTTGATTTACCTTGTCGACGTAATGTTGATTTTTAAATAATCCGTTTTTATAACGGCTAGGGGAGCCTTGATTATAGGCAGAGATAACACCGTCAAAACCGTCTTCTTCAAAGAATCGCCTCTTTAGATGTCGCAAATGACGACAGCCATATAAAACACCTAGCAATGGATCGCTACACAGAGCTGTAAAGTAGGGGTTAGAAAAACCGTATTCACGCGCTACAGCACCCATAACTTGCATCAGTCCCCAACTTGTTTTCTGTCCCCAAAACTCTGTAGATCTAGATGCACCATGTGGGCAGGGGAAGTCACGAGGTGGGTACATAGCTCGCTGTTTATGTGGTTCTAATTCTCTAAAGGGGTGTCTTGTTTTACAATCAACAAGCCAAGGATAGGGAGGCTCAACCCGAACAGCATTTGGATCACCAGAAGACTCAATCAAACAAATAGCAACGACTAGTCCTGCTGGTAGGTTAAATCCATTTTCATTAAGGAAAGGTGTTATAAGCTCAAGAAGCTCAGTTTTTGACAGAAATGCCCGTTTCATGGGCTTTAGCGTACCCCCCTACCCTAGAGGGGGGTATTAAAAAAGTAGAATAATTGCCTTTTTTAGGGTTAAGAAAACAGAAATTAAACAATGCTTTGATTGAGCATATATCAATTTTCCATATTTCCATAGCTACTAAAATAACAAAAACGAGTTTACCCAAAGGGAAAAGCGAGCAATAAGAAATTGTCCAAAACAGAACAAACGAAAACCAATCTTGCCTTCAAGGCTCTTCTTTATCCGGGTAATATCATAACAAAGAAATGGGTGAAACTGCCGCCAACAATTATTGCGTCTGGCGTGTATCGCTCTTCTCTCTGAATATATAAGAAAACCTTCATCAATTAAAAATATCTTTCCTGTGTCATTGCAAATTGTCTAGCTTCTGGATCTCCATAATCGGAAATAATAAAGAATTCTTTTGCCTGAAATCGATTAATAAGCTCTCGTATAGATAACCCAAGATCAGAATCAAAACGTCGACCTGGCGATCCAATATTAATATTTGGATTATGAACATTAACCGTACCAGTATTGGCGATATTTAAATCCAATACTTTTGCTGAGAAATGTCTTTATTTTTTTATCCTGGACGCCAGCTGGCCAAAGCCACATCACAACAACCGCACCAACAAGAACAGCAATGACAACATTATCTATATAGGGCCAACTTGCCCATTCAGGATCATAGAAATCATTAATTTGCCATGTAAACTGCATATTTGTGGTTATCTCTTGTGGATTATTCTTTGCCAATAAAACGCTTTCTGCGGAAACAATACAGGAGGCAGTAACTTTAACTTTTTGTGTAACATTTTGCATGTAGCCATGATATCAACCCCTGAAATTAGAAGACTTTCAATTGCCATATGCTATACCTTTCAATCAGAACAATTTCTGTTGGCGCAATTTAGCTTCTTTGCCAATAAAACGCTTTCTGCTGATATCCATAAGCTTATAGATATATTGCTCTTCAACGTCGTAACGAAGTGCCAATTCTGCATGATTGTCACCAGTAAACTCTTCGTAAATCTTTAGATCTCGCATAGCAGCATCATAAGAAATACCTTTAGGTAGATAAAACTGAATACCACCCCAGCTCTTACGTAAAACATCAGCAATTCGTACAGTCTGCTCTTGAGCTTCTTCTTTAGACATAGAAGACACTTTCATGACAAACTCAGTCACATACTCAACCAAATCACGCCAAAATTCAGGATAATCATTTACTGGCGGCTGTTGTGTCACTACTTACGCTCTTCTATAAGCTTTGCGGCTAAAAAACCAACACGGGCAGCCTGCTCTAAAAACCAGACAAGATCAGGCTGAGAAGCCTTTAAACCTGTATCTGACGACACTCTTGACATCAATCTAGATAAGGCTTGTGCATATTCAAGTAAATCAACCTGACTGTCTTCATTAAGACTTACATCATCAGCTAGTATCTCTTGGTATTGTTTAGATAGATTCATGTAGCTTTTCCTTTTCTTTGCAACGCATCTGGTGAATGGTCATCTGACCAACAAGTGTATGCAGTACACCTTTTGGACAAAATTGGATATCGCTATATCCATGGTTTTTGACAAGTGGTTGTAAATAATTCCAACCCAGTCCTAGATCAGCAAGAATGGCATCTAGCTTATTAATTAAATTCTGCTTATCAGAGGTCACATTCATGGGTTTTCCGTATTTGTTTGTGTATGGTCTCCCCCTACCACCCCCCTGGAGGGGGTCACGTCGTTTTGTCGGTGTTTTTAATGCGCCTTGATGTCGTAAGTGCTGTATTACTTTATCTAGCTCTGACAGCGTCAAGAGAGCCGAAGAGCTTTTTCCTGTTTTTGAGATCAACATGTCCTCATAAGTCACTCTGTCTAGACCAAGCTCTTTTTTAGCAATATGGATCATTGCCAGTCGTCTTGTTCTAGGATCTTTTCTCTTTTTGGCAGCGGTCATACTTTAATCCTCATAATTTCTTGTGCATCTCGTACTTGTCTGCGTGTTGGCCATACTAAAAAGACCAACAACCAGATAAGTACCTGTGTTGTTAATACCACGGATGGTTTAGCCATCATGTATTTATGCACGACTAAACTCAAGGTTATGGCAACAAATAAGACACATAACGTACTGGTGACATAGACAATTTCGTAATAGAACCGTAATAATCCTGTATTTTTCTTCTCTTCATACTCCTGTTTTGGGAGCTCCCAATATGAATTCC